CTCATGTCCCCAGTCATCTCACCGCCACCATAGGAGCCAGCCTCCTAAACACCCTCACTACGGGACAATCCTCCTTTTCCTGTCTGTTCATCCTGTCTTCCCAGCCTTTCCACCTTGCCCTCTTCAACAGGAGCAGCTTCTCTGTGCATCTCTTTCATCTTCCTTTGACAGAAACATAACTGTCTTTGAGGACACTGTTTTGCTCCTAGCTGTCTCTGGTGGTAGCTATTCTTTCTGCCACCCATTGTATTCTGGGGCGCGGAGGTGGGTCCACGTGTGTCTGACTCCCCTCCGCCACTTCCGCTCCGCCTCTCCTCTTCATCCTTCAGAAGCCCCCGTCCTTTGAGATCCATGTTTTCCTTCTTTACCTCCTCTCTCCCCTTGACGCTGTCGGCCTCTGACCACCCACTCAGTCTTCACATTCCGTGATGCAGATGGCCCATATGCTCCCTCCTAACATCCTTGTCTCAGCACCTGTATAGATTGGTGGTACCATTCCCTTGGAGGCAGTCTGGAAATGTATGGGGTTTGTTGGCTCATTTCCCAATGAAATTTTGCCTCGGCATTTATATTGAAATTCATGTTGTTTTGTTACCAATAACTTCCCCTTTGTTTACTTTATATTATTTATTAAGGCATTCTACTAATTCTTTTTTAAAAAAGAAACCCAAGTAGCTTATAATATCTTCTGAATTTCATTTCAGGGTTGGAAAGGGGATATTAAAATATGTGTGCTGTAAAAAGGGGACATTTTGTCTGATAGCATGGGGGATGGCTGATGCAGATAATCTATCAACTCCTTGGCTTCCCTAATCCTCCAAAGATCTTTTCCTCCAGCCCACCTTAGCCCCTAATCAAGTGGGTACCCCCTAAACCAGTAGCTACACCCTAAACCAGTAGCTACACCACTTCCAAAGTCTGGATCTAAACATCCGACCCTCTGTCCATAACCCCCCAATCTTCACAGCTCATTGACTCCGGCCTCACGAGGACCTCCTGGCTCTGCTCCCTCACCCCGTCATCCAAAAGGTGGAGAATGCTGAGAGAGAATGTATTCTGTCCACTTTTATCAATTTTGTGTCCTCAGTTCCTTCCTCCCCACACAAGTTCCATGGTCCAGTGTCATCACTGCTCCCATGCAAACCGACATACCTAACAAGAGTTTAAACTTGTTAGACACAGACTTCCCTTATTCCATACGTGCACCTGGAGCAAGCAGTGGAGGGTATAGAAAAAAATTACACACCGGCAACTGGACTTTTCAGTTGACTACAAATCTCCCAAGGGCACTCAACAAAATCAGGTAATTCTAACGTATTCTGTAAATGCAATCTTAATTTAAAGATAATTCTTTCTCCCTTCTCCACAGACGTTCAACAGGTCCTCCCTCTTCCCTTCCACCTGAGCTAGTGACTTCATGGAAGACAGCAATGCATTTTATAAAAACTCTTGGTTTTCCCACTTACAAGTTATCACACTCTCTACACGCTCTTGAAACATCCTCCTCCAGGCTTCTGGGACTCCCCGTTTGCTGGTCTTGCCTCTGCTTCATTGAGTGCTTCTTTACTGCCTCCTTTGCTCTCCCTCTACCAAACTGCTAAACCTCAGAAGCCCAGGGCTCTGTCATTGGCCCTCTTCTTTCCCCAAAACAATTCAGATACTCCCAAACTTCAAATTCTACCAGTTTTAGTTTGTTTTGTGCTGTTACTAAGAAGCATGTCTAGGTAATTTATAAAAAACAGATTTGTATCTGTTCTGGAGTCTAGAAAGACTCCACAGTTCCTGAGCCTAGGAAGTTGAGAATCATCAGATGGGGGATTTCTTGCTACATCCTTACGTGACAAAATATGTGGGTCAAGAGAGAACCAACTCTGTCAGGCTGCTTTATAAGGACACATAATCCTATTTATGAGGAAGGAGCCCCTGTTATGGTTTAGATCTAAAATAGCCGCCAAAGCCTCTCATGTTTGGAAGGTGACTGGATTATGGGGGTGTTATAGCTGACTTGCAGTTAGGAGGTGGGGTCTGGTTAGAAGAGGTGTGTCACTGGGAGTGTGACCTGGAAGGATGTAGCTCCCTTCCTGGCTCTTTCCTTCACTCTGTGCTTTCTGGCTGCACGGCATGAGCAGCTTTCTCCCACCGTGCCCTCTGCCATGCTGTTTCTTCTTGGAAGCCTGCTGACTATGGACTGAAATGCGAGCCAAAATAGACCTCTTCTCCTTGAAATTGTGGGTGTTGGGTGTTGTGTCTCAGTGAGGAGAATGTAACTAAGACAGCCCTCGTGGCCTAATCATGCCTTACAGACCTTCTTTTTTAATACCATCTCATTGGCAACATCTGAAAACTTGAAGAAGACACATTCAAACCACAGCTCCACCTCCACACCCAAGACTGTCTTCAGGCCAGCCTTTTTCCTAAGCTTCCAATGCATATGTTCAATTTCCCTCCTGTCCGGTTAGATTTTTATCAGATATTTTAAATTTACCATGACCAAAATAGAACTATTAATCACTCCAGTAGGCTGAAAGATGGTCCCCAAAGACATTCAGGTCCTAATCCTTCACCCATTAATATTACCTTAAAGGACTTTATAGATATGATTAATTTAAGGATCTAGAAATGGGGCAATTATCATAATTATTCAATGGGGCCTACATGGAATGACAAGTGTTCTCATATAAGGGAACCAAAGACAGATCTGATGGCAGAGACATTAGGGATTATGACAACAGAAGAAAAAATTGGAGTGATGCAAGAAAGAGGGCGAAATGCAGGCAAGTTTAGAAGTTAAAAAAGGCCAGGAGATAGATTCTTCCTTAAAACTTCCAAGAAGAACCAGCCTTGATGACCCCTTCACTTTAGCCCAGTGAGACTAATCTCCAGAACTGTAAGAGAATACCTTCGTGCTGTTTTGGGCCACTAAATGTGTAGCCATTTGTTACAGCAGCTATAGCAAACTAATACAGTCACTGCCACCATCACCATCCATCCTGGTGCCCTCCATACCTCAACAAATAGCACTGCACCTGCTAACTAAATGTTATTCCAAGTTCTTTCTGTCTCAAAGAATTGAACAAGATAAACAAAAGGGTGCCAAGGTTTATTTGAGTGAAGAGTAAGGGAGAAACTGGCTCTGTAGAGCAAACTTGGGGAGAACAAAAGCAAGGAAAACTTAAAAACCAAAATAAAACAAAAGTACACCCTGGGAGACACTACAGTGAGGAAAGCTGCAGCAATGAGCTCTTCATGGCATCTGTGACCCTTTTTCCCATGTACACCTCTTGGGTTCTCATGAAGAGTCTACATAGGGGGTCCTGAGATTATTTGGTGTTTGTCCTGGAATCTGGTCATGCTTACAGCCCCAATCAGCCTTGCCACCTCATGCCTTTCTGCCTCAGCACCCCTACTCGTTTGCTGAAGTCAAAAGCTTCAGAGTTACCCAGAGGTTTCTCTTTGTTCAAACCTTACCTGTCAGCAAATCTGTCAGCCCTACCTCCAACATACATCCTGTCCCCATAACGTCTCGTTTTCTCCATTGGTACAACCCCAGTCTAAGCTACTGTCATTTCCACCTTCAATTTTTACATCCCTTCCTGCTTAGTTTTGCCCCTTTACTTATTTTTTCAGTCATGGGCATTGAGCTTAGGATCTTCCTACAGAGATACATCCCCAGCCTCTATTTAAACATTTTTTTAAAAAATTTTTGAGACAGGGTCTCACCAAATCATTAAACTGCCTAAGCTGGGCTCAAATTTGTGACTCTCCTGCCTCTGCTTTCGAGATACAGATCCGCTCCATCATGCCCAGCCTCCCCACACTCTTGTGCCCACCAGAGCCAAAGAACTTCAGAACTTTTTGAAAGGTAAATCAGATTGCATCATTCCCCTGTTAAAATCCTTCAATGGCTTCCCACTACTCACAGTATAAAATACAAATCCCTGTCCTAGCCTACATGACCTGACTACAGCTTGGCCTCTGCTTATTTTATATGCCTGCACTTCCCCTCTGTTCCCTGGAGTAAGCATGCTGGCCTTCATTCTAACCCAGCCTCATTTCATTCCCACCTCCTGGCTTATGCACTTGTATTTCCTACTGTTAATGTGCTCTTGCTCTAGGTCTTTGCATGGATGCCTCCTTCCTTCTCATCATTTAAGTCTCAACCTAAACACTGCTTCCCCCTGAGGCCTTTCCCACCACCCATGCAAAACGAGACCCTCAACACCAGTAGGCAGTGGCTATTTAACCCTACTTTTCTTCCTTACAGCATTTGGCAGCACCTGAAGCAATCTGGTTATTTGTCCATGTGTCTATTGTGTCTGTCCACCTGAATACAGGCACTCTGAGGGCAACACTCTGCCTCTCTCCATCACTGCGGTATCACCATGCCTGGTACACAGTGGGCACACAATGTTGCCTTGTTGTCTGGTTTGGTTTGCTTCTACTCTACCACTGCCTCAGCCAGGCTAACTGCACCAGCATTCTCTTTCCAGGGGTGTTTGTATTCTAGAAGCATTGGGACATCTGTGCAAAGACACAGTTAATAAATTTTCAGATGTCACTTGGCAGGTATGAAATGACCACAGGAGATCTTTTCTGTTGTTTTTAAAGGCAGACAATTCATTCAAAGTCTGCTAAATAGTGGGTGCCATGGAGATGTAATACAAAGGAAAAAAGATCTTTATACTATTCCTCAATGGCATAATTTGGATTGTGTCAAGTCAAGAAGGGGGTGAATGGAGAAGACGAGGTAGGCAAAGGCATTATGTATAGGTGCCCAGTATTTCATGAGCTTGGCATAGGACGCCCCTTCACCTTCTCCACATTGAAGACTTGTCAAGCCCTAGGAATCAAGGAATGGAGATCAAGTCAGTCAGAGCTGGAAGGTAGATTTGAAGAGTACAAATTAAACCAATAATTATCTGTCTGTAAACAAGAGGAGTCAGGGACTTGTCTTCTCGTGCTTAGCTTTTGTTTTATTTTTCCTCTCCTCGCTGCCTCAGGTCTCATCATCCACGAGGGACCCTCTGTGTACCGCATCTTTAAACGGTGGCAGGCTGTCAACCAGCAGTGGAAAGTGCTGAACTATGACAAGGCAAAAGACCTGGAGGAACAGAAGTCAGGAGGCAGGACAAACCTCCGGACCTCCTCGTCCACCCAGGCCAATATTCCCTCGGAGGAGGAGGAGGCAGCTGGTACCCCTGCCCCCGAGGAAGGCCCCACCCGGGCTGCCAGCCACCCCTCAGACCCTCTGTCCCATCACCACTGTGCTTACACCATCCTGCACATCCTGAGTCACTTGAGACCTCAAGAACCGCGGAGCCCCCAGGGCAGCAGCCGAGAGCTCGTCATGAGAGTCACCACGGTGTGACAGGAGAGACCTGGAGAAAGGCCGATAGCGTATGCAGAAAGGCGGGACCAGGACAGGCCCGGGAGCAGGTGTGGGGAGGCAAGGCAGCTCCTGAGCCAGAGCAGACAGCAAGCAGATGGTGGTGGGCCCCAAGGGGAGCCAGGGCAGGGTGGAGCTGGAGGAGGCTGGCATCTGGAGCCATTGATGAATTCCAGTCAGTCAGTATCATTTTCCAATGGCAACAGCAACAAAAACCAGGACAAACTCAGTGACAATGGGCCTGACAGGTGCAATGAAACCTAGCAAAACAACCACCCAGATGCACCCATATAAGCAAGACACCCAGGAGAGGCCGCGGGAGGGGCAAAGCCAGCACAGTGGGTGGTAGTGCCTGTGCGTGCACAGGCAGCAAAGAGAAAAGAAGCAACTGGGGGGAACAGTATTTGAAGCCTGCTGTTTTCACACTGGAGTCTGTTTTTCTTTCTCCCTGGGTGGTGTTCCTGGGCAGTCGAGGGAGGTATTGGATCAGCTTGGACTGGTAGGGAAGACACACAGGCTGTGGAGCTCTGGCTCCTGCGGCTCTGAGCCTCTGGGCCCAATTGAGAAGCAGAATTCAGTAACTCAGATGGCTTTTGGGATTGTGGGGTGATTGATGCTGCGGGGGGAGCGGGGAGATGTTGGTGCAGGTGGCCAGAGTGCAGTGTATCTCCTCCTATCAAAAGTTCCCCAGCTAGAACTCCCAATTTCAGGTGGGTTTAAAGAAGGCATGGGTTTGGAGATTGGCATTTTTCTGTGCCCTTGTTACTTTATTTTATGGTGATTTGGATCAAAAGATGTTTACAGGACACAGACACACACACACACCTAGAAAAAAGTGTGGCTTTCCAGTGGCTGTGTATCTCAAGCACAGTGCTGCTTCTGTGGCCTCAGCTGTTAAAGTTGTCAGTCCAGGAGTAACTTTTCCAACTCTTCAGCCCCACCCATGGCAGGGACAGCTCAGTGCTATGCCCCTTGGATCGGGCATGGACCCAGACCCCCACACAGGGCCCCTCCACGGCCAATCCCTGGGTCTCCCAGGAGGGCTGCTGCAGTGTTGACGGAAGCTGGCCGATGAGCCCCAAGGAGTGGAGTGGAGACCCGTCTAAGTATTCCTCACTGCTTGGCACCCTCCAAAGAAGCAGGTTGGTCACTGCTCAGTACTCCGTGCTCCCGGTCGGCCCTTCCTGCGCAGCCAGGCAGGTCCGGGGGTCCTAGCCGGGAGCACTGGTTTTGGACCCCACGTGCTTGTTCCTGCTGGGGAAGGCCACGGGGTGGCCACCTGAAGTTTCTTGTCATTGCATAGTGGCCGTGTCATTCTTGGGTGTTACAGGGACACTGTCAAGTACTTTTTTAAACTAGTTTTTAGGGTTTTTTAAAACTCCCTGTTGTTTGTAATATTCTCTTAAAAGCTTGAAAATAAAAGCTCTTTCCCTACCAGTAGTGTCTCTTTCCATACTGAGGTTTTTCCATCCTCCTTCCTGTTCTCTTGCCTTTTTTCCCTGTTCTGTTTCCTCCACCCGTACAGTGTCCTTCTTAGCAGGAACCTGAGAGCGTTTTCACATCCCTGTGAGGGTATAGATGATGTAGGGCAGACAGAGATGTTCACACATCTTGTGTGCCTGGGTATACAGGGTGTGAGTGTGTGTGTGTGTGTGTGTGTGTGTGTATGTGTACTTGCAATGACAGACTAGTACTCCTGGCCTCTTCTTAGTTTCCTACCTGGTAGATTCCTTCAGATCAAAACCAGAAATGATTCTCAAATGCCTCCAAGGATACAGCCCCAGGAAGCCTAAATACTGAGATATTCATGCTTTGAGGAAGCTTGGGGAGCTCTACTCCCTTGGGTCATTTCACAGAGGCTGGAAGAGCCACGGAAGAGGAGTGAGTAGTCTCCTTCCCTGGCCGTTTTCCTTTGCAGATCAGACAACAGCCCCAAGGCAGGGCCCCAGGAGAGAGCATGGACAGGTCTTAGGGAGCAGACAAGATCTCTCCTTTCTTCACCTTGCCTGGCCCTCTGTCCTTGGGGCTGACAGACGGTCAGGCAATACCATCGGCAGGATGTGCACAGGCTTTGGAGGCTTTCTCCCCAGTGAAGTGTGTGAAAAGATGCAATAACTGATGGGAGACAAGAAGACACAAGAAAACATAAAACAAAAACCAACAACACTGTACAAATAACCCATGTTGTGGTCTAGGGACAGACCAGTTGGTCTAATTAAATATTTATGGAAACTGATTGTGTTCCAGGGACTGCCTAGTTTCAAAAAAAAGTAGTGGAATGTAACAAAATATGCACATCATGAGATCTATAGTGACCATCATGGCATTTTCTTTGGTGATTCCTAGGACATTTCAGACTCTTGAGGTCATTCAGGGCCATTATCCTCACTGAATATATTGTAAGGAAGAAAAGATAATGAATGAAAATACAGAAATCTGGAGTTTGTGGGATTTGGATAATACAGCTTCAAGAGAGCAAGATGGATCTCTCTTGTTTATTCATCTCAGAACCATGTCCGTGTCTTACATACAGATACAGTAGGTGCTCAGTAAAAATTTTCCAATGAATAAGACACTCCCAGAAGAGAACAGGAGAATATTCCCTCAGCATGAAGGAGGCATGTCTCTTCTTCTTCCAACTTACACTCTGGCTACTGGGGACCATCACAGAGCAGAAAAAAAAAGGTCAACTACTCCACCCAAGAGGATGATCAATTCCCTGTGCCTTGGGAAATAGAGCTTGCAGGTACCATACATGGAACAAGATACTAGCTAACATCTGAAGTTCTTGCTATGCACAAAGCACCAAATTAAATGTTTAATATGTATCAATTCACTTAATAGTCCAACAACCTGATAAAACAGATACTTTATTATCTTCATTTTACAGACATGGGCACTGGGGCAGACGATAATAACTTGCTCATGGTCACTGGCCAGGATTCCCTCTTAGGCAATCTGGCTTTGATCATAACCACATTTCCTTATGACAGATTGCACCAGTGTAAGGAAAACCTGGGTTAGGCCAATGCAGAGAGGTCCTGAAATAGAAGTTATATTAAAGTTTTGAAAGTTGGAGAAACTCGGGCTAGGTAAAAATAAGCTTTCTGTTCCCCATGGGAAAAAAGCTGAGCTTATCTAAAAATTACTTCTTGTTTCCCAGATAATATTCTGGTTGAATGGGAGCTTGTATCATGGAGACTTGGCTGTGTCTGAGAGCTCGGAGATTCTGAAAGTTAAAACACATTTTTACAGACAAATAGCCAGATTTTATAAGGGTTCACAGAAGCTTCTCCTTTTAGAAATAAAAGTCAAAATTATCCTATCTGGGGACTAGAATTTTGGTTCCAAGTAATATGTGCATGGTAGCAGGCTCGGGATTTCAGTTACAGTCCAGACTTGACATACATGAGACCATGTCTCTACCTCTGGAATAAATCAGATCCATCACCATCCATCTTAAGGCACAGAAAGTCCAAAATCATGGAAATTTTTAGTCTCTAGGAGAAAATGTATTGCTATTCCTTTGTTTTGTCCACAAAATCCACATGCATAGCAGAGGACAGGGGGACCCTTTGGTTTGAAATAACCAATTCCTAAGCATCCTGATGTGCTTTGTAAACAGAATTTATTGTATTGTGCAGGTGAGTGGGCAGAGGAGGACGAGGAAGAAGAAACACATTTTGCATTATTCCTCATCGCGTCTCCATACATGACCCGGGTTATCAGTCGTAAACAACCAAGGATGATTTTACCTGCAAGGGACTCTGTCTTAGTGACTTTTCTCTCTTGCTGAGACAAAATACCCGGCACCCAAAGTTAAAGGAGGAAAGGTTTATTTAGCTCACGGTTTTTAAAGGGGCAGGGTGGCACAGCTGACAGGCATCGCAGAGGAGAAACAGTTCATCATGGGCAGAAGATAGCAAAGCAACAAGGGACAAGACAGCGTCTTCTTCTCCCTTATATTGGATCCAAACTATCAGGATTAGCGTGGTGCCAAACCACTTAGTGGACTGATTTAGTAACCACCCACCCTTAATCCCAGCACTGAACATGAATCCATCACACACTCCAGATTCAGCCACCTCTGAAAAACCCCACCTATGACTGCATGAGGTTTTGGGGGGACATCCAGACACCAACCATAACAGGACTAATCCTATAGCAGAGATGCAATAGTTTTCAAACTCCTCATGTCTCTGTCCCTACCCTCACTGGTAGACTGGCATGTGGAAACTGGGAAGTGCTTAGGGTACTGTGCACAGTTGAGTGAGAGTCTAGGATGGCTCCAAGTAGGGGGATCTCGGACTGGCCTCCCCCAGTTCTGAGTTAGGGTCTGGGCTGCATTGTCTGGCAGCCAGCTGAGAGCTAGGCATCTGCTTGTTCCACCATAGGTCCTTCTTCATTCTGCCCCTCCCACGTATCCTGTGTACCTCTTGCATGGCCCATCACAGGAACGACAATGTACTGACCCTCTCCTGACCCAGGCCCAGGAAATGGAGCACTATGCTTCAATAGCCTTCTGGTTCCTGAGTTCTGCCTCTTTAAATGGGTCATGCATAGCCAGGTGGGGTGGTACATGCCTGCAATCCCAGCACTCTGCAAGGCTGAGGCAGGAGAATTGCAATTTTGAACCCAGTTTGGGAAACTTAGTGAAATGCTGGGGATGTAGCTCAGTGCAAAGGCCCTGGATTAAATCCTCCATACCAAGAAAGAAAGAAGGAAGGAAGGAAGGGAGGGAGGGAGGGAGGAAGGAAGGAAGGAAGGATGGAAGGAAGGAAGGAAGGAAGGAAGGAAGGAAGGAAAGGAGGGAGGTAGGGAGGGAGGGAGGAAGGAAGGAAGGAAGGAAGAATCTGTTTAGCAAAGAGGAGGAATTGTGGCTGTGGAGGACCAGGGTTATGGAGGAAGAGAGAAGCAGGCTCCCCCTGTGCCTGTGCCCATTTTGTTTTTGAGAGGGAAAAATCCTAAACACAGAGAACCTCGATGCCCTTGGTACTGGCCACAGCCTGGTGCTCTGCTGTCCATCTACGGCCAAATAGCGAGGCAGGTGTGGCACATGCAAAAGTCAACATTATAGCACAGAGCAGTTCCTCTCCAACACAGAGGGGACAATCTGTTCCCACCTCTGTTATGCAAGAATGTAGGATGCTCAGGATCTGCTTCTAATGGTATTGTCCTTCCCTCAACCACTGTGACGAAATAAAAGTAGCTAAGCATACAATGCTTTCCATCTGCCAAGATTTGTCTCAATACTTCTACCACATCCTAACTCATTTAATTCTCAAAATCAGCTGCACAAGTCAGGAACTACTGTTACTTCCACTTCTCAAGTGGGAAAAGTGAGGCATGGAGAGGGTAAGCCAATGGCCAAGGTCACGCAGCCATGTGCGGCAGCACTAGAACATACACCTCAGCAGTCTGGTGCCGTATGCTGTGCTGTTAACCACTGCACCACAATGCCGCTCAGAAAAGTAGAAAGGCATTTAAAAGATGTACCCTGATTCAAGAGGCAATAAGAGAAAGAAATGAGCCTTTTGCCAGATGGATATAATCCAGATGCCATCTATGTCACATGCCTCTCAAGGTTTGCTAAGGTCAGCTCTGACTCCTCCATCCCTCATCCTACAGGAAGGTTGATCAGGATGCCTATTAATTTATACCCTAAAAATATCCCCAGTTGCATCCTGCTCCAATATCCAGAATCTTCTGAACTCCAGGTCTCCATTATTTTACAGCAATTCCTTTGTTTGGATTCTATATTTACCCAAGTGTCAGATATGGTGTTTCCACCTTGATTCCCCCTCCCAACCCAAATATTACCACTTTCAGTGTGTTTAACAGTTTTACTGGAATTTGGAGGTAACTTGAAGTTTATTCATATCAAAACCTGTGGTGAGAAAACGCTGTGTGGAAGATTCTTGCCAGGTGGATATCTCATATATAAATGAGATATAACCACCTTCCACAATCCCATTGCCTGGTTAATAGACTCTAGGAGGAAGCTCAACATTTCTTGTCAAAAGCTTTTCTCACAAAACTGCCTGCCTGGCAAGCTTACTCTTACTAACTGTAAATATGGAAGCTAACAGCATTCCTCTCCTGGGAAATTTGCATTTTTAGGAGGAGATAATGCAGGAGCCAGAGGAGTCACTCTGTAAGTGGTGTAACTTCAATCATCCCCAAGCAGGTGGAGAGCCGTGCTGTATTCTCTTACCCAGGAGGATCGCAGCCATGTAGGAGCCTCTGACACACAGATACACATAGAGGATATGCAGAGAGGGTGAGTGACAAATGCATTCTCTAATGGCTCTTCAGTATTCCTTAGGAGATCAAGACCCCCAGGCAACAGGTGGAGAGAGGCAAAAAGCCCCTCTGAGCTCTGTAATGTCTCTGGGTTAGAGCAGCCTTATTACCTAGAGGTTGGATTTGGAATATCACTTCTTCCGTCCCAGCCAAAGGGTTACTTATTGAGGGAAATCCTCTTAACCTTCAAACACAGTTTGCTATATCTTTTCCAAGAAAAGATGTAGAAATTTTGAAGCTGCCACTGTCCTGAGTATATATGTCCTATACTTGTCCAGCAAATCATAAATGACACTGTTATGAAGCCCTCATCCTTCCTTGAAAAGTCTCACAGCTGAGCATTATTTCCTACCTCCCATCACTCTTTAAATCATTTTAGTGAAGACTTGTAGCCTTTGTCTATCCAGCATATAGACACTCCCTTTCCCAAGGGAAGCCCATCCTATGTGGTTTCAGTAGGGTTGAACCCTTATGACCCCTCCAACCACAGAAGTGGGATATGATCCTGGCTTGAATAATTAAAATATCTTATTTCTCTGTTCTTAGGGATTAGTTGAGAAATGGGCATGTGAATAAAGCCAACCCATTTTTCTCCCTGGATTTATCCATCAGGGCTATAGGAGAAAATGCTGTTTCTCTCTATAATAAATCTTGGCTGGGACTTCTTGAGTCCAGGAAAAACCCTATTTTCTGCCATATGGAAAACACTTGTCTTCAAAATTAAGTCAAGTAGAATTATGAAGAGCAAAGAATAGGAAAGAGATGGCCCTATCCCTCCTGGGGCCCTCACGACTGAGCCAGTTCCTCTACTCGATTTCTCAGGGAATAAGTCAATAAATTCCGCTTTTGCTCATGTCAGTCTGTACTGGATTTATACAATTTGCAACCCAAAAATCTATTATGTATTCAGAGGTTTCCAAATATCCACAGTGCTTTGCATTAAACTCATGGTATGTTACTTGCCTACATTCATAAAGGATTCTAACTTAGTAGTAGTCAAAGAAACTGCGATGAGTTGCTTCCCTCTCCTATGGAGGAGAGACCCAAGCCTCTAAATGTACAACTGGTGTTTCATATTAATTTACTCTACCAATCTTCTCAAAGTTATCAAATAATTAAAAAGGCAATATGCACAGATATACTCACACTTTTTAAAAATATCTTTTTTTTTTTTTTCCCCTCCGGTATCAGGAACCGAACTCATGACCTTGCGCTTGCCAGGCAGGCGCTTTTTGCCACTGAGCTAAATCCCCAGCCCGTAAAAATATCTTTTATTGCAAGTTTGAGCCCAACCTGGACAACCTAGGGACTTAGTGAGACCCTGTCTCAATAAATAAATAAGTAAACAAATATACAAACAAACAAAGTTTTAATAGGTCTAGTGAGGTAGATCAGTGCAAAGAATCTGTATTCAATCCCCAGTACAAACCAAAACAAACCAAAGCAAACTAAACAATAGTTCTTAAAATTACATCAGGGGAGGCAGAAAAAGGACATAAGGTAAAAAGCAGACAGCTCTATCTATGATCATAACTCTTATTTAAGGGTTGAGGAAGGGACAGGATTCAGTTGTGAGGCCACAAGACAGAAGCCAGGATTCTGAACAGAAGGTACGAGGCAAAGCTAAAAGTAAGGCCTTGATCCATTCACCAAAGCCTAAAGGATTTTCCATTATTTCTGGTACTGATCATGGCATAGCCCTACACATGGGCTCCAAACTATAATGTTTAAATGAGCTCAGGCACATTCAGGGTGGCATGGCCGTAGATCCAAACCATATTGTTTATTGAAAAATATAACCTATAGGAAAATATGCACAGTGAGCACATATTTGTAGAAACAATTTTAAAATCTACACCCATATTTTTATACTTCAAAATGCCATAGGTCACCTTACTGTTACTAGTATTTTTCTTACGAGATTAAGTAAGCCACCATGAGCCTGACTTTAAGAATGTGGACCCATGGAGGCCACCATAACTAAGTCAGAATCCTTTATGAATATAGGCAATTAACAGCATTTTTGGTCTCTGGTTTTTTTCATCTCTAAAATAATCAGTTTTATACCCTGAGCCTCTGTAATATCAGAAATTATTCATATAGAATAGGAAGTGAGTAAATGATTGCTATTATCTTTTTATTTTATCATCATAGCATATAAAAGCAAGATTATATCAAAGCAGAAGTATGAACCTGGCACCAGTACTCTCATTGAAAATTCTGTTCAGCTATAAGTAACAGATATCCAACTAGAAGGAGCTTAAACAAGTAAGTGTTTAGTTTTCTTTTATAATAAAGTGTCCAGTGGGGCATGGTGGCACATGCCTGTAATCCCAGCACTCAGGAGGCCAAGGCAGGAGGATTGCTGTGAGATTGAGGCCAGCCTGAGCCTCATAGTGAGCTCAAGGTCAGCCTGGTGTAAAAATTTTAAAATTACAAAAATTTTTATATAAAAAATATAGAGAGAAGTGTCCAGAGCAGGTGGCTGCTGGCATTATTCCAGCTGCTTGGCTATGCCACTAGCAACCCAAGCTCTTTCTGGCAGTCTGCTCTGACATTCTTAGCATGTTCATTTGTCACCTATAGCTGCAACATTATACTCTCAATTGGGCTACTATAGCTCAAGGCAGGTAAGAAAGAAGGGGTGGCCCACTCATTTTCCTCTTTTATTTCAGGAAAAACTACAGCTTTCTCAGAACCATGCTTTGGTGCCTAGATGCTCCCATGTGTATCATTTTGGCCAGAAATATGTCACGTAGCCACCATAGCTGTGGGAAGGAGAGGGAAAGGCAATTATTTACCCTATTCAGTTCCTGTTATGGAATACATCAAGGAAAAATATTTGGGGTTGGATGCTGGTTAGGCCAGTTGGAGGCATCTTCCCCACACTGAGAGTAAGAGGGTAAATCAGTGTACTATATTTGAGGGCCATTTGGTAGCATTCCATTAAATTTAAAGTGCACATATTCTTCAACCCAGGAATCTCATTGCTTTGGAACTGTCCTAGAGAGATAGTGGCAGATGTAACATCGGCAAAGCACTTGGGAAATAAGAATGTCTTTCAACATGGGGTGATGAAGTATGAGATACTGAGACCCTTGAACACCATAAGCATGTGAGATCATGTCACAGACCTGAAAAGGCCAACAGGGAAAGATCTCAAAATTATACTGTTAATTGAAAAGCACAACTGTAGAACAATATATACAATGATTTCATATGTGTAGAACAACAGACAAGAGGACACCTACCTTTTACTTTTCAGAATGCCCTACTTAGCCTGGCATGGTGCCACATCCCTGTAATCCCAGCATTCAGGGAGGCTGAGGCAGGAAATCGAAAGGTCTATCCTAGTCTGAGCAGTTTAGTTACTTAGCAAGACCTTGCCTCACAATTAAAAAAAAAAATTTAAGGTCTGGAGAAATAGCACAGTGCAAAACCTTGAGCTCAGTCTCAAGTATTGGGGGGTAAAAATGCCATACTCCAAAAGATATGAAAATATACCAAACTGATTAAAGTTATTTATTTTGGGGAGAGGATGAGGTTGAAGAAAGGAGAACTTTCTCTCTGTGTCGTCTGCCTTTACATTTTAATAATAAAAATAAAGGTATGCAATATATGTGGAATGTTTTATATTGTGGTACACCTGTACAGTGGATTAGTAAGTACTATAACTATTAAAAAACGATGGTTAAGATCTTTTTAGAAAATAGTTACCTTTTACTTTGAAGGAGTTCTTGCTCATCTTTCCTGAAAACTTGTTTTGGAAGAGAGACTTTCCTGAGGGGTCTGCAATACAGAGAATTCCTGGACTTTCAATTTTCTGTGGTAAGGAAAGTTTGAGAGTAAGGAAATTTGAAATAGGGAATTTATTTATTTTCTGATCTCATGGACATCTGGAGCAGGAAAGAGGATCTCACATTGGATTACTTGAGTGATCTCCTTACGCTCACTTCAGCTGGGCTTGAAAACTTCCAGATCAGAGGTTTTAAAGAGCAACTAGAGATCTGGCATTTCTGCTGCCAGTGCATGCCCAAAGGAAGAGCGTGCCTGGTGGAAAGGTACTGAGTGCGCCTGCAGCCAGGCATCTCCGAGAGCGGCCGCCTGCTAGTACTGCTCTGTCTGGGCCCCAAAGAGGCTGCAGGCAAAGCTGGCAAACACAGATGCAGGACTATCCAGACTACAGGCAGCTGGGCCTCTTCCCTCTCTCTTCTCCCACCTTCCAAGTACTCCTTAGGCTACAGTTTCCATCCAACAGCAGACGACGGGAGCCAGGTGTATGACGCCAGTGCCCTTGCCCCATGCCCACTCCAGCCTACCGCCCACAGGACTCACTGGGAGCTGACAGCAGGAGCCCCTCGGTCCCCTGCCTGCCTGGGGGACATGTCAGCTGGAGACAGTCACTGAAGGCTCTGTTTGTCCAGCCAAGTGCCAGAAGGTTCCCAGGCGCTGGTCCTGGCCTCAGAGCCTGCCAGATGTGACTGGGGAAAGTCAGTCAAGGAGATTGACAGTGCAGAGCTGCTAAAAACAAACAAGGCAAAAGCTGCTTCTGAGCTGGAGGCAGATGGAGACCCTAGGGAATCAGGCAGGGTAAACACACAAACAGCAAGTAAATAAATCCTTCTTTAGCTAAAACAACAAAAGAGGAAAGTAAAACAAGCAAAGTATCTTCTTTTTCTGCATGTGAAATATCTCATAATAAAAGTTAACATGACATCCCTCATTGCATCACCCTTCTGTGCCCTCATTCATGCAGCTCTGGCTGGAAGAGAAGGCCCTCCCCCGCCTCTTCCTCCTCTTATAGAAATCCTACAGATCCTGCACACTACACTCTAAATGCCACGTTCTCTAGGAAGACTTCTCTCATTCCTCCTCTCTCTCCTTTCATCCAGTATGAACATCATACCTTCCTCTAGGGCAATGATGGCGAATCTTTTAGAGACCAAGTGCCCAAACTGCAATCCAAAATCCACTTATTTATCACAAAGTTCCAACACTGCAATTAAATCTGAAAACTGAAATTTTAGTTTAAGAGAAATAACTCGTACGTTAACATCTGTTGTCTTAAAAAGAAAACAAATAATATGTGGGCCATAAGTTTGCCACCACTGCTCTAGGCCCTCACTTCATTTTGCTTGTACCATTTTGATAGAAGTCATTCCATTCTCACTGAGAAAGTACTTATCTGCATGCTAATCCTACTAACCAGCCTAAGAATATAGTAAAGGCAGGGATTCTGGTTCACTAGTCTCTCTATTTTCAGTACCTAACATATATTTGAAGACAGCGAGAAGCAATAAATGAATAAGTAGGTCAATTATTTATCCATTTCATACACATTTATGGTACACCTAAGTATGACTGTGTAATGATGCTAACAAGATGAATAAAACAGTAAACTACTTGGCTCCATGGAGTCTACAGTCTAAGAGACAGAGAGAGTCAAATAATCACACGAAGTAGCTTTTGCTGCCATCATGCAAATGTGTTCATGGTAGAGGAAATGGTGTCGAGAAAGGATTTTACCAAAGGGAGGGAAGTCTTCAAGAAGAACTGATGCTAATTTAGTACATTAGTTCAGGTCCATGGAAAAGCAGACACAAAGAAAGTGTGCTATGGATTGAAAGTGTCCTCCAGAGTTCGTGGGCTAGAAATTAACCACCAACTCAGTGGTGTTGTGAGATGAGGCCTAATGGAGGTCCTGGGGTACCACTCTCATGAGTGGACTAATGCTGTTATAGTGGGAGTGAGTTCCTTATAAAAGAACAAGTGTGGCATTACCCTCCCCACCCCACCCCTCCAGTATATGATGCCTTCTTCCATGTGAAATAGAAAGGTGGCCCACACCACATTCTGGTGATTTGATCTTGGACTTTTCAAACTATGAGAAAATAAATTTATATTTTCTATAAATTATTCAGTCTGTGGTGTCCTGTTGTAGCAGCACAAAATGGGCTAAGACATGGGATTGGATATACATTCATTATGAGAGAGAGCAGGAAAAGCCAGAAAGAGCCCCCTAGCCACAGCATAAGTTGACATCTACAGAGGGAAAGAGAAGAAAAGGAGGCTAGGGAGAGCCTCAGATTAGACAATATTTCCAAGAAAGTGTTGACTGGACCAGTGGAGCATGCTTGTGTCAAAGTGGTCCTTTGGAGGAATCTCATACTTGTTGGTTATGGCTGCATTACTACGCTGCTGTGTTCAGCCAGTTTAGGTACGACTTACAGGAATTTGGGCCTTGATATGATCACAGTGGCGAAACCAGAAGGGTAGCAGCTGGGGGAATCATCAATTATCCTCTCTGCAGCAGGAAGCCCAAGTAGCACATTTTCATGGCTACTACACTTGATCTTTAAACTTAAATAAGGCATATAAGGGAATGGGGGAGGCTACAAAAAGAAAAAATATTCCAGGATGAAGGACCTGTGTAAGCAAATACACCAAAGCATGAAACAATGGTGCTCATTAGAGGGCCTGCAAGTACTTCAGCATGGAGGGAAAGCTGGGGTGTATGCAGGCGTCTGGCTGGTAGCAGCTTGATTGTGATGAGTATTGCATGTGAGCAGCGGGTGATATAGAAGAGCTGAGTGTAGGGAGGATTCGAGCAGATTTGACCTTATAAAGATGCTTGGCAACTATGTGGATGAAGTCTCCCAGGTTGGATGGGAGGCCACAGCAAACATTTGGGAGGGAGGGACTGAGTGGGCTAGAAGAGTACCGGAGGGAAAGGAGAGGAAGAGAAGGATGAATGAAAAGGATGGATGAGTGTAGGATGAAAAGAGAAAATGCAAGTGGCCAGATGCATACTGTGCCTTCTTCATGGAGATCTCTGCAGAAAAGCATCAACTTACCCTGAACCCAGCCAGGCTAGTCTCAGGCTGGCACGAATGCAACTCTGTACCCTGTTGGAGCGCAGCTTCCCAGGAGGTATGGCTGTCCTTTTGTGTTCCATTCATTTTCAGGACCAGATGGTGTTTGCCTCATTGACTTTCATTGCTGATTTTGTCTTGTATGCTGTTTTTTTCATAGGTTGTTTCATTTCCTTTATTTCAATTCAGTGTTCTACGTGGCCCACTTTTGTGCTGCGCTCCACGTTCATCACGATGGCAGAAAGACAACTGCAGCTCTCAGCAGGTGGAAGTTTTCAGGGAGCCGATCAAACCCAGTTCCCACAGCTCAGTCCTCCAGCTCTGGGAAAACAGTGTGCAGTGGGAGCCCTGAAAATGAACAGTAAGCACAGTTTCATTGCAAAACACTGTTGAGTAAGCAAGATGGTGAGGCCAGCAGTAACAACCATGACCAAGAGGATGAATTTCTGGTCCAGATTACTGACTTCTTGCCAGCCTCTCTGTTATCGGCTTGCATCAGTACTAAGTCTAAAGGGAAACTTCAAGGACATTTGCCACCCAGGTGCTCCGGTACCGTTGCACTCCAGTTTAGTCACTGGCAAAGACAATCAGCTTATCCATTTGCTCACACTGTGCTCCAGGCCTCAAGTGCCTCCCCATATCAAAAGCTCCATTCTGCCTAATCAAACAACAACCCTTTCCACCTAAAGAAATCAGCTCTACTTTCTGCTAGGACCAAGGTCTCCGCCATTCTTTGTTGCTTACTCTACAGCCCTGTCTAGTTTGTTTTGGTCAGTTTCCTTGAACATTAGGAGTTTCTATTCTATCCTCTCCAGACTTTTAGATCCTCAAGCAGGTGAATAAAGTCTCTTTCCTCTCTGTGGACCTCCAACCTCTGGGAATGGCACTCTATCATTGCACAGTTGAGCAGCATATGTGTCTGTGACTTGCTTCTTATTTCATTCTGGCTGTGCTGGAAGTCTCTGGCAAGCAGTGGAAAGAGCAGCTTCTGCTCACTCACTCTCATGGTCAGGGACTGGGTACAGTGAGAATGGCCTGCAAAGTGCTCTGAGGTCCTAAGAAGAAACAACAGCACAGAGGAAATCATGGCTATTTCCAGAGAGTGAATAATACTGGAGGGAAATGTTGCCTAATATTTTTCTTAAGTTTTCACCACTTTTAAGTATCCTAGACCTTTTTATTTGGTTCTGTGATTTCCCCACCTCCTTCTTGCATGTATTTATGATATTATGCGACTGTCACATTTGAATTTAATTGATTCTAAGGGTGTTATTTCAAAATCTTTTACTGACTGGCACATGGTTCCCTGGGTACTGGCTCTGCACTTGTGGTGTGACAGTGATGATGATGATGATGATGTGTGTGTGTGTATTAGTGAAACTGACAGAAAGAAAGCAACCCAGCCAGTGCCAACTGGCAACCTCTCTAGATCAATAATATTAACAATCTCAGAGACAAAGGAGCGCCTGCCAACTCTCTTGGCTTTTTCAATACTATTATCACTATTACAAGGACACCCCAAGGCCCTTTTACTTAAAGAAACAAAAGAATGTTATACTGTTGGTTTCTGTCTTTAAGGACTACAACCCAATGCTTCCCTCAAGAATGGATGGTAAAGATTAGGCTTGCTTAATCTTGGGGTCAAGTTTTCAGAGGGAGGGATGATAAGCTCACATCAGCTCAAAGAGTGGCTGCCTAGGCATTTATGCTGCCTTATCCTGAGAGTTCCCACTTGCCTTTATGAAGACATGTTTATAAAAATCTAGGGCTTGACTGGCTAAATAATGTAGTATGTAAGTGCCTAGGCTTGGAGACAGACATCCGGTTCCACTCTCGGCTGTCATCTCATCTGACATGTGGTCTCAAAGGCCTCCATCCCCTCTTACATGGAGTGTGGGACTGAGAGGTTGACGATGGTGATAGCTGAGACTCTGTAATGGCTTTCACTGTAGGGAAGGGATGTGGAGAGAGGTCTCAGGAGGGAAAACAAAGGCCTAGAATCTATGGGAGTCTTCTATTCATTTGTTTACTCAACATCTGTTTCTCAAGGGCTTACCCGTGTCAGGCAAGGCTATAGATTTTAGGTCAGTGCTGTCCAACAGCAATTTAATCCAAGCCACATATGCAATTTTAAACTTTCTAGCAGCCATACTAAGAAAGTAAGAGGAAACAGGTGAAATTAATTTTAATGATAGATTTTATTTAACATAAGATATCTAAAATATTATTGTCAATCTATAAAGTACTAATGGGATATTTTATGCTTTTTCATGCTAAAATGTTGAAATTGCCTGTGTATTTTACACTGACAGCACATCTCCCTTCTAGCCCCACACTGAGTGCTCAACAGTCCCGTGTAGATAGCAGCAATCATATTGGACCACGCAGTTCCAGAATGTTTCCTATTGGGAACAATGTGGGTGAGCAAGCCTGTCTGAAAGACCACATGGTAATAAGGAGGATGGTGATAAACACAGGCCTTAACACAGAGCTCAAATAGTGGTTGCCCAGGCGTTGAAAACTGACAACTTGGTAACAGTGGTGATGCCTAATATTTACAGAGTATCACTGGGAGAAAGGCATTGTACTCAGCACCTTTCACACTTTAAATAATTTCAGCCTACAACACATCTAATAGGTATGATGTTTACCTTTATTTTATGAGAGAAAATAGAGACCTAGAAACTATAGGTTGCTCCACACCATATGGCTGCTGAGTGGTAAGCCAAGGAGCCCAGTCTGCCCAGTTCTGTGCACTTGGGCATGTATTTACTATTCCATTCACTTGTTCCTATAGGGGCATTAGCCCATCTGAATCTGTTTCCTAGCTGTCAGGATTCTTGCAAGGGATAAAATGCAACTGTTGTAAGTGTATGAATTGCTTCCTCTAAATCATTTAGGGTACCAAGAATGGTCATATCCTTTTGATTCCTCTAATTTAGATGAAAGCCACCCATAAGTTAATTGGTAGGCATTCTGTTTCATATTTTTGGGATCTTCCTTGTTCCTGCGACTCTGAGTCTTAAAGGTGATCTGCCTGGCTTCACAACCACCTGCCACTGTCCCTGCATGCCATGAAGGACCATACGGGCCCAGGGCCTCTCCCAGACAGAGATGCTTGTTCATACAGATGTTGTCTGGAAGTGGCATCATAGGACCCCACCCTCCCACAGTAGCTTCTTGAAGTTATAACACAGTAAACTTAAAATATCCACATTAAAAAAGATATTCCATATAAAAATTTGGATGTAAGCTTTCTCTCAAAAACATTGTTAAAAATCTGATGCTATAAAGTTCATGTTCCCACATGGCTACTAATAGCTGGTACTGAGCACCAGCTGGAAAGGAGTATGGAGGTTGCAGGATCCACAGATGGAGGACAGAGCAGGTGGGTCTGCGAGAATGGCTGTGTGTGAAGATAAAGGATTGCACATGATGGCTGAGCGGTGTTGCACGGTACCAGGTAAGCAGACAGCCCAGCTGCTGGCCTTAGGAAACAGAGATATCTGTGTGGGCTTTCTTGTGGAGGCCACACTGCAGTTGGCCACGGTCCTCACACTCCCTACTGCATCTCAGGCACTTGAGGTTATAGTTTTCACATTTGTCATTGCTTCTCATTGGAGAAGCCCATCTCTTTCCAGCCTGAAAAAATTCTGAAATGCTGAATGTTCATTCTTCTCTATGACAGCACAGGTTGAGTGGGTGAGCATGGTTCTGAGGAGGCAAACCTTCCATTTCAGCTTTGCTGGGGGTTGAGAAAACAACACCCTGTCTTCCCAAGATGACCATGCCATAAAATGGCAAGGAGCATAGATGCAGCAGCCAGACTAAGTTTGAATCTGGCTTCCACCGTTAGCACTACTTGTATAAACTTGGGAAGGTTCCTTGATATCCCTATGTCTCATCTTCCCAAAGTATTTAAGGTGCTTCTTTGAATTCCTGAGGCAGTTAGTGCTGTGTGATGATTGCTGTCATTCTGACAAAAACACAAACCAAGTTTTCAGCACTCTACTACTTAATCTGACTGGTACTTAGTTGGCATAGATAAATTCATAGCAGTTTTCACTCTTAGTACCATGGCCACAACTCTGGAAGAGATGTACTTCTTTTAGAGTTTTTGATTTCATAGTAGGGTTAAGGGTACTTGGTCACTTTTCAGCATCAGTAAATGTTCATGATGACACGCTACCAGGAATCAGGCTGAACAAAACAATCCCTGTTTACTGCTCAACAAAGAGAGGGATGTGCTGCCTAGAGTGCAGAAGAAAGGCAGACCTTTTCACGGTGAGGAGGCCAAGGCCTGCTTCCCTGTGCAAACACATTTCAAGCGGGCAGCCTGGCTATACGGCCAATTACACCTTGTGAGTCAGGGGTGGGGGTGTAGGCATAAGTGTCCTCCCACAAACCATAGAAGGAGAAAAGTGGGATTCTGTTCTATAAAGGCAAACTCAAATGCCAACTAAAAGGGTGGGATTGGTACAGGGGGGACAAGGACATAAGGAAAGCTCCTTTAAGTGACCCAGGTGGGCAGGTTGTCGTTGTGAAAACATGGAAGCAACAGGGATTGCGAGGCCAGACACTAGGGCCCCAGGGCTGCCTGCTCTGCGGACCAGAGAAGGGCCTTATGCAAGCCCTGTACCCTATTGACCTCAGACTCCTCAGTCAGGGAGGGACTCACCCAGATATTCTCCACAGCCCCTGCTAACCATGACCCACTGTGGCCATTCCCTGGCCTGCTTCTCATCCTTAAGTGGCCATGCTCATTATTTGGTTTTTTTCACGACCTTGCGCTTGCCAGGCAGGCGCTTTTGGCCGCTGAGCTAAATCCCCAGCCCCCCCATGCTCATTATTTATTGTCTGATCCAGTGCTGTTAGATGTATATGGCAATCCCCCAAAATAAGAACTGTGTCTGCTTTAAGATCTAGGTTCCCATGTCAAACCCTGCTTGGACTTGAAGCCCTAAATTATGTTCATTAAAAGATTTAGTTGCATGGAGATAGCTTCCATGCTGGGTACTCTATGCTTATGCATTCTTTCATTAATTATTAATTAATGAAATGATTAATGAAATTAATTAATCTTTCATTAATTAATTATCCATTCATTCATTAATTCAGCAACATTTCAAACACAGTGTTAGCACTAAAGAGAATGAATGAAATGACTCAGGAACATAAAATCCAGCAACTTGTCCATAAGGCATGACCCTCAACTAGAGAAGTGAGAGGCAAAAACATGCTACCGGATTCCCATCTAAGAATACATGCTACAGCTTACCCTCTGTCATCTTAACTTCATCAGTCAGGTGGATCCAAGCAGTACCAGCAAGCAGGGCCATTTCCAGCTCCAGCTAAGTTATCATGTTATCAAGACCTCGTTCTCCAAGGGCTGGGGTGCAGCTCAGTGGTAGAGTGCTTGACTAATACGTGAAAGGCCATGGGTTTGATCCCCAGCACTATAAAAATAAAACATACCTGAGCCATAATCCCATTCCACACCACACCTTCCCTTTTGAAGGGTTAGCGGAAAGTCTGAAATCAAGGTATCTCTAGATATTTTTTCCCAAACTGCGCACAGATCCTGAGCTCTGGCATCAGAAGTGTCTCTTCCTTTTCCCAGAAGCTTCGATGGCCTCCCACTGACAGAGCTGGATAATAAATGAGTTCATTACCCTGGCTGCCAGGGCCCATGACAGCCCATCTGCTGGCATGATTAATTAAAACTTTGACTGGCAATAGAGGTGCCATCTCAGGGCTGGAAAGCAATTAATCGGAACTTCTCCCACATCTTCATTTCCGCTGAATCCTAGAGAGACCTCTGCCAGAAAGGGCAAGGTCTTCACGGGTTGGTCCCCTTGCCTCACTCTTCTTTATATTCGCTACTTGTTCTCCTTCCTGAGGCAAGCTCACCCTATTTAAGCAGAAGCAGAGTGCTAAGAACCAGATCCTCAAATCCTCTCAATGGGGCAGGGGAACATTTCCATAGAGAAGGATTTTCCACCCCTCTCAGGAGTAGGGAGTGTTGCAGTACAGTGAACTCCCCACTTTCAATCTCTGCATTTTTCAAAGGTCTCCAGAAAAAAAGAAAGAGAGAAATGATAGACTACACACACACACACACACACACACACACACACAGGTGTTCAACTTAGGATGGAGTTATGTCCTGATAAATCCATGATAAGTTGAAAATATCATAAACTGAAACTGCACTTAGTAATCTATTGCTATGGTTTGGATAAGTGTCCCCTAAAGGCCCATGTATTAAAGGTTTTATCGAAAGCCTGTGATGCTACCGGGAGGTGGTAGAACCTTTAAGTTGTAGGGCCTAAAGGAAGGAAGTTACGCTACTGAGGGGATCCCCTAAACATCCTAGTCCCTTCCTCTCTCTCTTTTCTTCTCAGCTGACAAGAGATTAACAACTTCCTCCACCAAATGCTTACACCATGATAAATTGCCTTGCCACAGGTAATTAGCCAAACAGCCATGGACTAAAACATTCAAAACTGTGAACCAAAATAAACGCTTTACTCATTTTAAATTATCTCAGGCATTTTGTTACCGTAACACAAAGTTGACTAGTGTACCTATTGAATGTTATAGCTTAGCAACACAGTAGACTACTAGTTATTTGCCCTGTGATCATGTGGCTAGTGGCTCACCAGCACTGAAACAGAGTATTATAATACATATGCCTAGCCCAGGAAAAGATCAAAATTCAAATTATAATTTCTACTGAATGAGTGCTACTTTTGCACCATTGTAGTTGAGACATTTCAAGTTGAATCATTTTAAGTCAGGGAGCCACTTAATTTGAAGAGGCTTTCTATAACAACTGGCTCATGCAATTATGGAAGCCAAAAAGTTCCATGATCTGCCATCTGCAAGCTGGTAGGAAAGCCAGTGGTATAATTCTCCAAAGTCCTAAGATCCAGGAGTGCAGATCAAGGGCAGGAGATGGATGGATGTCACAGCTCCAACAGGAGAGAGAACACATTCACCTTCTCCATCTTTTTGTTCTATCCAGGCTTTCAATGCAATAGACAATGCCTATCCACACAGATGGGGACAGATCACTTTACTCAGTCTGCCAAATCAAATGCTAATCTCTTCTATACCCTCACAGACACACTCAAATATAATGTTTAACCAGCTATCTCGACATCCTTTAGTTCAGTCAAGTTGACACATAAAATTAAAACCATTGCAGTTTTCCATGTAAAGACTCTCCTGTCTCTCCATCTTCTCCACCCACCCCATGCCCCCGACACAGCTATATAAAGTTGCTAGGTAAATAAAGCCTTAGGGCCAAACTGTGCTGTTAAGCCCACAGTACCGGAAACCTTGTGTTTGAGGAAAAGTTGAGTGTTCTCCTGACCATAAGGCTGCTATGTGGGTCCCCAACTGGCTATGATCATGGTTTACTTGTATCTATTTATTTCTGTGCTTAGAACCTAGTGTGCAAGGAAAATCTTAAACTCTGAGAATGAACCCTAACACCTCCAGGAAGACAGGACATGCACATTTCTGATGTGTGTGTGTGTGTGTGTGTGTGTGTGTGTGTGTGTAGTCCATAGATCACACATCAGAGTGTGATTCAACATGAGTTTCTCACTTGAATGGAACCATAATAAATGACTAGGTGTTTCACGGTGCCTTCACAACTTAGAAAGCCACTAAGAATGCCCCGATGTACAGGAATATGTGTTTCTGTATTATCTTTTGCCTCCCATCTCAGCCTCAACGCTCTTTTGCTACTCCTAAAACAAAACTTAGTCTACAGCAAGGACTCACATCAAGACACAAACAGCTGTTAGCAGTTTAAATTACTAGGAGAACCTTCATTTTAACAAGGACCCAAACCTGAAGCTCTGGTAAGGAAATAGGTGAAGGTTATGGTTTGAATGGGTCCCCTAAAGTTCATGTGTTAGGGACTTAGGCCCCAGTGCAACCACTTAGGTGACTAAGTCACAAGGCCTCTGCCCTTATGAATGGGTTATACCATCATGGTGAAAGTGGATGTGTTATCACAGGAGTGGCATCCTTAGAAAGGATGAATTGCCCTCTTCCTCTCTGTCACACAGTGTTGAGCCATATGAAGACTTCAACCATGTCGTAATGCAGCAAGGTCTTCACCAGAGCAAGCCCGTGATTTTGAACTTCCTCGCCCCCAGAATGGTAAGCAAAATACAACTGTATTGTTTATAAATTACCTACTTTGTGGTATTGTCTTAGTGGCATAAAATGGGCCAAGCCAGTGCATTTTCAAAGCAAGGAGCTGAAGAGGGAACTTTGGGGCCTTTGTAATCTCCTAGAAATGACTTTTTCTATTAACATATTAGACCTCCTTTCTCTTTTTTTGTATCCCCAACACTATCCCTTGGAGTTAGCACCATTTCACCGTATTACTGACAGGGAGAAGTGGGGTGTACAGTTCCTCTTTTGGTTGGGCTTGTCATTTGAGATTTACAACTCACAGGAAGTAAGATGGCAGTGTCTTAATCAGATTGAGTAGGACCTTAAATTAACCCATCTATATATTCTAGCGGGCTTTTGTGCTCTTTGGTTCCACGAAATGAACAGGAGAGCATTCAGAGAGAAAATAGGAGAGGTCAGGCTAAAGGCTACTGAACAAATATAGCCAAGAGGGAAGAGGGCAGGCAGGAAATTGAGGTCATCCTTGCAGGACAGTTTGACTTACATCAAGAGATCATGTAAGAATTCAGTTTCAAAGGGAAACTAAAGCAGAATCCCCGCCTTGTTCCCTCTAGCTTTGACATGCATAGAGTCCAAATGCTTCCATATATACAGGAAGGAGCAACTAGACTCACTTCTCACCAAATTTAAAGCTACATGTTGTCAAGAAGTACTAGCACACAGTTCTCAAAGTTGGCTGTACATGGAATCAGCCAGAGTTCTTTAACCATTACTGCTACCTGACAGAACTCTCTGGGTCTGCCGCTGGGTGTTGGGACGTGTCAAAGCTCTCCAGCAAAGATGTGCGGCAAGGACAGGGAGCTTCTGCCCCAGGAGCCAGTCTGCAGCCTGCCTGGGCCTCCAAACAGCCAGCCTCTGTTTCTCACCCTTCTTCTCCTGAAGTGTGGGGCCCATGGACAGGAGCTCACAGCCAAGCAGGACAGAATGCAGGGAGCTTAAGCTTCTCAAGTGTACAAGGTCAAGGCCAGCAGCCTTGGGAAGAGTGCCTTTTTCTGATTTCCTCCTCCCCATGGAATACAGGGAAAGGTGACAGAAGTGAGAACCTTGCAGAGGAGGATCCAGAAAACAGAAGGTAGCAAAATGTAAGCACAATGCTGAAAAAAGGGAAAAGGTCAGGGAGGGATGTGGCTGAGGCCAGAGAGGGACACGTGTGCCAAGGAGGAGCAGTGACCATGGCTTGCTCTGAAAAGAGGGGGAGAGGCTGAGACACTAACTCAGCCTGATGGGTGGCTTGAGGAGACTTATAGGCACATGTCATTGATAATGGGCCCCCTTTTCCCAAGGATCTTAGGCTGCAAGGAGGAGGGGAAATGGATTCCTATCATGGAGTCACCATCAGGCCTGTCTGAGTCAGCTCCCTCGGGGGCTGCCCTGGTTTGGACCCTCATTATTTCCCTCTGAGGCTGTTTCAGCAGTCTCTGCGTTGCTGTCCTGCATCCCACCTCTTGCAAGCCTTCCCCTCCTACATGCACCCTGCTGCCAGTGTAACCTATCAGTGTCCATCTGATTGCCTTTCTCTTCACAAGCTGGAGTTCTCCCTTAATAATCACCCTATCTTTGTGATCTAACTGGTCTCCACTTTCCATCACACACATCACCTCTGAGCAAACCACACCACTTACCCTTTCCTGAGCCTGCCTGACCTCTTCTGTGTCCTCTATTTGAATGTCTGCTTCTCCCCTCTTGATTAAATTACTTTTCCATTCACGGTCATCTTAAATGCCACCAACACCAGAAAGTATCCCCAATCAGCAAGACTGACATGAATGTTTCAGAAACTCTTCTCATGTCTCTTTAACGGTCCTCTCCCCTTGTGAATTCTGGCTATTTGTGAACTCTTCCTACTGGGCCATGAACTTCTGGAGGACAAGAAATGTATGGTCTTTAAATCCTGTCTTCTGGAGTGCCCAGAAGGATTTTGGCTGCAATAGGTGCTCAATCTGGGCTTATTAAGTTGAATTTTATAGAATGAGAATGGGTAGGCACAAGAACCTGTGTGTGGGCAGCTGAAATATCAATAAAGAGGCAACCTTTCCTGCCATGGGTGGTGTTCAAAGAAACCCCAGTAGCTCACATAATACCACAAAGAACAAACATCAAAGAACAAGGCCACATGCTGGGACAGGTAAAATACTAACCATGTGCTCTCCTCACAGCATATAAGAATTCACAAATAAAAGGATGCAGGCACGCATATATCAATAGCAATGAACATTGATAGAACACTCAACTTTGTTTATAATCACAGTCTCAATAAGTGCAGACACACAGAGATTATTTCCTCACAATTTACTAGCCTGACATTTTCCACTTATACAAGATGGACAAGTGTTCATCATCTCCTCACAGTAAGAACATCTAACACACACTTGTTTTTATAGAAAGAAAAGGACTAAAATTATTGAGCTCCATATTTTAAATGCTGCCTTTGGTATCTGTCAGATACAAAATCACTCCCCAAAGGCCTGTTTCTGTGTTCCCAGCTCAATCTATTTCCCCTTCACATACACACTGATGTAGTCAGGGTTTACAAGGGAAAAGATTTAATGCAGGTCACATAATTTATAGATTATATAATATTCACCCAAAGTGTTAAACACAAAAGAGTGCAGGCAATCTGTCCACACAAAAGAGACCCAAAGAATCCAGCTGAGGACCTGGATCCCATGGCAATGTCCTGCATGAGTCCAGCTGAAGAACTAGAGTCCATAGCAACATGCTGGAATCCAGCTGGAGGCCTAGAGCTCACAACAATGTCTCATACAAGTCTGTACCAAGGATCTGCCCTGGGAAGGTCCAAAGGCCTGTGGTGGAAGCTAGAAAGTCTGTGCCAGCTAGATGAAGTATCTGTGCCAGCAAGCTGAAGGATGTGCACTGGTGCCAGGAAGCAACACTCAAGGTGAGGACCAGAGCTCCCCAGAAGAGAACCGCAGCCATCCTCAGCAACATGAGGACCCAAGCTCCTCTGATGATGAGAATAACCGAGTTCATATCAGGAAAACCAGCATGACAAGCTTCTCCAGGAGGGTCAACAGTGCACCATCTTCCCCTCTAGTTCTCTTTTTATGCTGCTGACCACAATCCTCAGATGGGCCTTCCACAACCAGAACCACGCTGATTCAGTTCAGCTGGGTTACAAGTTGCCCATTAGCTAATCCACCACAATCCACCCCTGGTCAACTTGATAACCAGACATATTTCCTTAAGCCACAGTCTCCAGTGGCAGATTTGTGAAAAGTTAGTACGTCTTGGTCTATTCAGATTTACATTAATATAACAATTACACATATATAATTCTTGTTGCACTCACTTCTGCACCAAAAGCAAAATATTCAAAGGGTGATCAAAATTCAAGATTAAAATCATAATACTTTGATTAACCTGATTACAAACATGTATCTAAAAACTACATTAAAATCATTTTAAGAGAGCTATTACAATCACAATCCTTGCTTCCCATTAATTTTTAACAGGTCATGACAACACTAACAAATGCCCAAAAGTATCTCCTGCATTTCAAATACACTCTTCTTTTCTGGTGAAAGACCTTTGGTTCTCTTTCCATTGTCCTGTTCTTTCTCAACAATCACAGTCTCCGGTTTCATCCTTGTAATCCACAACTCCACTGGAGCCTTCCTTCTGGTCAAGTGCTTCAAATCACATTTGAGCAAAGATCTGGCCAAAATCTCTCAACAGTAACCATGCCACTGTCCCAACAATAGACCACACTGAAATTTTTCTGCCACCCAGGCAGTATCTGTAAACATAAGCAAACTGCAGACCAACTTCCTGCCAAAGCACAACATACATCACCTGGGATCCAGCAGCCAATGCAGTCCTCAACAAAAGCCTCCTGAGCCTTATCTTAACCGGCAGTATTTCCATCAGTACTGATCTTCCAGGCTCTGACCAGAGTCTCCCATATAGTTTACAGATTGTAGGGGTTGCCTCTTTGGCCAGCCTCTCAAAACCTTTCCAAATTAATTCCCAGGGCTCTTAAGCCACATGACCAGGCAACATCACAGCAGTGACCCTACTCTCCTGATACCAATTTTGTTGTAGTCAGGGTTAACACGGGAAAAGATTTAATACAGATCACATAATTTATAGGATTATTATATAATATTCACCCAAAGAGTCAAACACAAAAGAGTGCAGGAAATCTGTTCACACACTAGAGACCCAAAGAATCCAGCTGAGGACCTGGATCCCACGGCAATGCCCTGCATGAGTCTAGCTGAAGAACTAGTCCATGGCAATGTCCTCTACGAGTCCAACTGGAGGCCTAGAGCCCATGACAAGGTCTCATACAAGTCTGTATCAAGGATCTGCCCCAGGAAGGTCCAAAGGCAAGTGGTGGAAGCTAGAAAATTTGCGCCAACCGGACGAAGGATCTGTGCCAGCAAGTTGAAGGATCTGCACTGGAGCCAGGAAGCAACACTCAAAGTAGGAAGTGTTGCTGGAAGGGAACTGCAGCCATCCTCAGCAACAGTGAGGACCTGAGCTCTTATGATAATAACCAAGTTCATATCAGGAAAGCCAGTGTGACAAACTTCTCCAAGAGGATCAACAGTGCACCCCCTAAAGTTCTTTTTATGTTGTTGGCAACAATCCTCAGGTGGGCTTTCCACACCCAGCACCATGCTGATTCAGTTCACCTGGGTGTTACAAGTTGATCTAC